TGTGCTTTTAGGTGATTGCTAATTGAAGACATGATGGGGCTCTCTGGGAAGAGATCCTGACTGGTCATGATTTATAACTAGAAGGGTGGGGCAGATGACAGTGAGTGCTGGAAGTTTCTGGAAGTCAATGGGAAGGGCAATGAGGGTAGGTATTTGTCTTTCTTGAAGGAGAGGAGATTTATTTCCTCCATTTTCTTTTATAATTTAAGAAAAATTAGTATAGCTCTGTAAAATACTTTTACTGCATATTATGTCCTATATAATCTGCAAACATGTATGTCTTCACAGTGCCAAAACTTTCTGAGCAACATATTCATATGCAGATTTCTGGAAAGATAGAGGATCACAGGTATATTTCTAGTCAGGGATATTACTGAAATAAAACATCTTTTAAAGCATTCAGGTTTTGAGAAGTAAAAAAAAAAAAAAAAACCAGCAAGAAGCTTTTTTCTGTGTGTGGACATTTACATGAATGAGTCAAATCTCCTTAACCCCATACCTATCATTTTCCTTCCTTTATTTCAGTGTCATTTCAGATACAACAAAAAGGCTGGTATTTTCTCCATTTGGAAGAATATTAGGGTCTCATAGAAATTTGAATTTTTGGTTGTTTTGTGTTTTCCTCTAGCTAAAAGCCCCTTTAAGATATTTAAGATATATATATATATATATATATATTTTTTTTTTTTTTTTCCCCAGAATCCTGCTAACCCACAGCAATTTTATTCACTGTGGGAGATGAGCTAACTGGGATGATTACTAATTACACTGCTTTTGAATTTAGATTAAAAGTACCGAAGTCACTCTATGATGTGGAATTGGATTAGTTGTGAATGCTGCTCTAAACAAAGCTTGTACGTTGGCTGGGACAAATGGGCATCAGCCTCTTATCTGAATACAGAAGCAGGATGGTCAGGAGACATCTGTTCAGCTCTCCATTCCCTCTTGATATTTCTGTAGTTGACGACTAAAAAATAATGGGAAGGAACAACTATGGCAGTTTATTTCCTATGTGATTTTAGAAATATCTTCTCCAGCAGGGCTAATGTTATTAATACTACATGGAAAATGTTTTCAGCAAATAATTTGCCGAGGAAAGAAAGTGTAGTAGTTAAGACCTCTCCTTGAAATTATCACCTGATTTAACACTCAAGGAGAGATGGGAAAGAAACTACACTACCCCATTCTAATTTTAGCATCACCTTTGGACAACTAATTAAAGGGATATTTTGAAAGAGACTTTCTTTATGCACTTACAACAACTTTTCTAAAAGGTTTTTAATAAAACAACTTTTCTAACTAGGGAGTGTTAATTTTGAGGTCTTGGTTTTTTTTTTCTTTCTTTTTTTGCACTAATAATCATGATGACAGGCTGGATTGACCACTTAATGAACTTTACCAGAGGGAAAGCTCTATGAGTGGTTCCATTTGTTCAAGTAGATTTGTTATGTAAAACCAAACTAGGAGACCTCACATTTTTGCTTTTGGAGGCATGACCCTAGAATAATTATCAGCAGACTCATTACACAGGATGATGTTTCTAGTTCAAATGTAGGATATAATTACATCTGTTTGACTTCCTAAGAACTGCCTCCTTTTGATAAAATAAATAAACAAATAAATATATATATATATATATATAGACCATGGATCCTTACTTTGGAGTGGGAAACTACAGTAATTCACAGTTGCATTTGAAATCGGAAGGCTTAGTTGTTTACTGGCCGTTCATAATGATAAGAATAAACCTAAATTCAAATAAAAAATACTCCAGAAAAACTAGAATTTTCAGCCCACCACACATGTAGCCATAAATGTTGATTGACAGTAATTTCGGTATTGCCAGTCCCATCTCTGAAGCAAAATCAGGCTTGTGATTCCCATCCTATATCCTCTTGTCATTGTTCAACTTCTATGAAATAAAATGTCAACAACATGTTCTCATGACATGGGTTATTTTTGTTTGTATTTTTGTAATGTTTAAAGACAGAAACCCCAAATGATAGATATTACTCTCTACTGTACATGTGAAGTCACAACAAACCACAAGATGGCTAGACAATATTCACGCTGGGCATGCACTACTTTATAAACACATCACCTGTCTTACTCCTTAATAGGGATGTAAACCTTATTATCGAGGCATCTCTTTCATTATCTACTACCAGGCTATAAACCATGACTTGGCTCCTTTTTTATGATTTCAATATAGGTCTTGAAATTTTCCTAATATACCTTCTATGTATTAAATTGTGTCTGCATAAATTCAAGTCATGTTTGCCTTTCCAACAGTGGGTTGTTCCCAGTGTTTGCAACAGTGAGAGACTATTGTCTATGTTTTTGGTCTTTGTATAGTGTGGCTCTGTACACTTCTGATCTGGTTGATAGCAATACTTGCTAGGGGGCCTACAGCAGAACACTTTATAATCAACGTCTATATATATATATATATGTATGTATATATATATATATATATATATATATATACACACACACACACATATACACACACCATAGCAATGCAACTTGTGCTTTCAAATTGTAAGACAGTAATGAAGGAAATTCTAAAACTTTTTTGGGTGCTTTTGTTATACCCAAGGACGTGTTTTGCGTCAGATTATATTTGTGCACAAAGTTCCATGCTGGGTCAAGAACAAGGTCAGACTGTCCCCGCTCACCACTTGTTTTCAGCATTGTACTGGAAGTCCTAGCTAATGCAGTAAGGCAAGAAAAAAAATATGTATATATACAGATTGGGAAGAAAGAAATAAAACTGTCTTTGTTCACAGATGACATGATTATCTCTGTAGAAATTTAGAAAGAATCACAACAACAAAAATCTCCTGGAATTAGTAAGCCAACAAGGTTGCAGGATACATGCTTAATAAGCAAAAGTCAATTGCTTTCCTATGTATCGGCAATAAACAATTGGAATTTGACAATAAAAACACAATATTATTTCCACTACCACCAAAAAATGAACTACGTAGGTATACATTTAACAAAATATTTATAAGATCTTTATGAGGAAAACTACAAAACTCTGATAAAAAAAATCAAAGAAGATCTAAATAGATGGAGAGATATTTAATGTTCATGGATAGGAAGGCTCAATATTGTTAAGACATCAGTTTTTCTCAATTTGATCTATAGGTTCAACACAATCCCAATAGAAATCCCAGCAAGTTACTTTGTGGATGTTGACATAAAGTTTATATGGAGAGTTAAAAGATCCAGAATAGCCAATGCAACATTTAAAGAGAAGAACAGAGTTGGAGGACTGGTGCTACCCAACTTCAAGACTTATTCTAAAGCTGCAGGAATCGAGACCGTGTGGTATTGGTGACAGAACAGACACATAGATCAATGGGACGGAATAGAGAGCCCAGAAACAGAGCCACATAAATGTAGTTAACTGGTCTTTAACAAAGGAACAAAGATACTTCAATGGAGAAATGATAGGCATCTCAACAAGTTATGCTAGAACAGCAGGACATCCACATTAAAAAAAAAAAGACTCTAAATGGATCAAAAATCTAAATGTAAAAACAAAACTGTAAAACCTTTTAAAAGATAATGTAAGATAAATTGTTAGGTGACCTTATGTTTGGCAGTGCCTTTTAATACAACACTAAAAACACAATCCATGAAAGAAATAATTGATAAGCTGGCTTTCATTAAAGTTAAAAACGACTGTTCTGTGAAAGGTACTGTTAAGAGAATGAAATGATGAGCTGCAGATAAGGAGAAAATGTGGGCAAACAAACACATCTGATAAAGGACTGTTAGCTAAAATATGCAATGAACTCTTAGTACTCAGCAATAGGAAAACAAACAACCCACTTTAAGAAATGGTCAAAATATCTAGACACCTCACCAAAGAAGATACACAAATGGAAAATAAATAAGCATATGAAAAGATGCTCCACATTATAGGTCATCTAGGAAGTGTGAGTTAAGAAAAAAATGAAATACCACTGCAAACTTATTAGAATATCTGAAATCCAAAACACTTAACAACACTAACTACTGGCTAACGGATGTGGAGCAACAGGAACTCTGGTTAATTGCTGGTGGGGTTGCAAAATGGTGCAGCCACTTTGGAAGACAGTTTGGTGGTATTTTACAAAACTAAACATAGTCTTACCATACGATCTAGGAATCACACTCCTTGGTATTTATCCAACTGAGTTGAAAACTTATGTCCACACATAATGTGGATACAATGTTTAAAGCAGCTTTATTCATAATTGCAAAAACTGTCAGCAACTAAGATGTCCTCTAATAGGTGAGTAGATAAATAAGCTATAGTACGTTCCTATGATGGACTATTATTCGCTGATATAGGAAATGAGCTGTCAAGCCATGCAAAGACAAAGACGACCCTTAAATATATATTCTTGAATGAAAGAAACTGAAACAATTACAACCTGAACAGTTTACATACTGTATGATTCTAACTGTACAACATTCTGGGAAGGTAATGTCTCTATAGAGACAGTAAAAAGAGCAGTGGGTGTCAGGGGTTAGGGAGGGAGGAAGGGAGAAATAGTGGAGCATGGGATTTCTAGGGCAGTTAGACAACTCTGTATGATATTATGCTGGTGGATACATGGTGTTACGAGTTTCTTAAAACCCATAGAGTGTACAACACAAAAGGCGAACACCAACATACATTTACAGACTTTAGTTAATGATGAAGTATCAATATTGGCTCATCAATTTTAACAAATTTACTACAGTAACGCAAGATGTTAATAAAAGGGAAACTGTGCGTTGGGGAGGAGAAAGGGTACAATGGAACTCTCAGGATTTTCTGCTAAATTTTTCTGGAAACCTAAAAACTGCTCCAAACAATAAAGCCGGTTGATACTTTTCAAAAGGTCTGTATTTGAAAACGGCTGCATTATTATCTCTTGCAATTAATTAGTTTGTGTAAATTTATGGAAACGAAACTAGTAATGCCATTTAACAGGATCACTTTTTTTTTTCTCAACCAGCCAGAGTTTATACATATATGCTCGAGAAATCCAGACTTGTTTCACAACCTGTTGGCCAGAGCAATTTTCTCATTTTCTACTTGTTGATGGATGGGTTATCTGCTGAAGAAAAATACGGACTTCATCTTAATAATTTATGTGCACACCGGTAAGTGACTGCATATTTTCTGTGTAGTAATTCTGTCTTCAAGTTGTGATGGCATTTTAGCAGTCTTAAATTTTCTTCTTATTTTTCAGAGAAGAAGTGGTGAGTCAAAGAGACTAATTGGGCACTGTTAGGTTACAACCTTTGGGGTAACAGGATTGTAACAGTTTAATTGAATGTCGAGGTGTGCACATGTATTTGTGTGTTTGTATTAAGTTATGTTTCTGTTTTCCTAGTTTTCAGATCAGATTTAAATAATTAGTGTATATATAAACTTTTATATTCCTTTGGGTATTTTGGATATAACATTAGTTACGCATTCCTAATCTTTGGTAATCTTTTGAAATAATGGGAAATATTGTTTGGCAATCATTATTCATTAGTAACAGATGAAATTGCATGATGGATGAACACAAATCACACACATAAACTGGAGAGCTGATTTTCTGCACCGGAGGCAGAAAGCATTTGCTAGAAGGCAGGCTCATTGGTCATGGGATGGGATGGGGGTGAGGGAGACATAAAGGTGGGGAGCTGAGGGATGTCTTCACGTTGTGTGCATTTCCACCACCTGCCTGATCCGAGGCGTCTCCCATGAAGATTGGTCCAGATTTGGATCAGGATGAGAAGGAAACAGTGGGGGGGATCAGCCCCATTCAGGAGAGAAGCAAGTGGAAGAAAGGAGCAAGAGAGCTCACTGGTAAATCGTGGCTGGGCAGAGGCACTGGGCTCCGAAAGCGATAGGGATTTATTTCAGATACGTGTTACCACCTGATTGGTAGTTTCGTGGGTGTTTGTTATTGGATTCAAGAAGAATGGTCTGTGTTTTCACAATTGTTGAGAAGTCTTTGTGAGAAGAGTTAAAGAATGCTTGGAGAGGAAGGGCGTGGCCTGAGGACCCGTCTTGAGGGTGAAGGGAGAGAAGTCTACGGGGCGGAGATGACAATGTGAGAGCTGAGGGACTTTTGGGGGGTGATGGGGTCTCAAGGGCGCTGAGCTCCTGGGACGGGTTGGGGAGGCCCGGGGCAGGCTTTACCGTGGCCACTGCTGTGAGGTGTTCCTGACGGTGGGGCACAGGGGCCACGCAAAGGGATGAATTGGCCGTATCCTAACTCACACCGACGTCATTAACCACTCTCATTCCATTTCTTTGAAGATATGATGTCCAGGAGTAGAGGTACAATGTGTCATGTTGAAGGGGGAAGAGTAGTCAAGAGGTTAAGAAGAACTCATGAGAATTGTGTTTTATTTAAAGTGAAAGACTTTGGTGGTTTACTGTGCTCCCAAACAACAGAAATTCCGAAGATAAAGAAAACACTAGTATTAGAGCATGGGAGCAGGGATAAAAGTCGTAAATAAAGACAAGAAAAGAATGGAAATATTAAGTTCCTAGGGCACTAGAAATGTTTTTATCAAATCCCCTCATTTCGTAAAGGAGGAAATCAAACCCAGAACCATAAAGAAGCTTGTGCCAAAGGGAATATGGGCCATAACAGCCATGCTAAAAACCCGTTCCCTGGAATTAGCTTTTGTTTCGCCGCATTGAGCATCTCCAATGGGAGACATTCTCCGTGGGAGGAAAAGCATCAGATTGGAAACCCCGGGTCAGGTGTTCAGGAGTAGGCGCATGAGAAAAAAGTCTCATGGGTTTCTGTATTCCAAATCTTGCTTACAAGTAAAAACTCAACGTTGATAGCAAATAATTGGTTTGGGGGGTGCATCTATGTGTATTTGCACACGTGCACTTGGCATTTCTGACATAGACCAGTGAAGAGTAAAGGACCATAATCTAATCTACCGTGCAAAGAAACAGTTTAACTTCTGGGTTTGAGGTTTGGACCCGTCTCTCCAAGTGTGTGAGTGTGGGGGAGAAAACAAGCTTTTCTTTATTGAGGTCCAGTTCCAGCATTCATCTCTTTTGCTAAAGAGAGTTTGGAATCACTCAGGCTATTTAGAAAGTCAAACAGCCAGGGGTTGCTTTGTGAGAAGCTCCAACAGGAAAGAACGCAGCAAAATCATGAATCATTCAATTCTCTTGAACAAAGAGGTTATTTTTATTAAAATGTATTATAAATATCTAATGGGAACAAAACAACATCCCTCAATAAAAATACATGCCACAACCCCAGATTCATAAAAATATCAATCAGAACATTTGTACAATGAGAATTCCACAGGCATAATGTTTTTTAATAATAAAACAAGCTGCTTTGCAAGTTACAGTGCATTATATAGCGTACTATTTTTGTGGTTTGTGCTGTGTGGGTCTTCTCACTTTTTACAGTGTGCTGGCAAGTATTTGTCTGATATATGAGTTGGGGTTGGGGTCTAATCTTTATCTGGTAATGATGTGCCTTAAGGACCATAATTTTTTTAAATTGTTTGGCTTGTTTGCAGTCGGCAGTATAAATCTCAGCTTGCTAACTTTCTAACTTTTCACAAATCAGTGGCCCTTCCAAGTTCCTCCTAAAAATCAGCACTCGATAGGTCTGGGAAAAAATCACTATGTGGACACATACTATTGTGAAGAGTACTGTTGCTACCATCACATCTACTTAATCTGATTTTCTTTAAAAAGGTGCCGAGGTATCTATTAAGTAGACCATCTGAATTTGCCTTTGCTTTTTCAATGCTCATTCCACAGTGCAACTTGTACTGAAATGTTGATGAAGTATGTTGAGTCTTAAGGCACATGCTACAAAGAATTGCAAGCCTCTTCCTCCAAATGCACCTTTTCTCCTCTTCATTATTAACAACCCATTACCTGCATGAAACATGAAAAACACATGGAACAGGAAGTGGGAGCTGGAGACCTACTCAGTATCAATCCTCTGTTCTTATATAATTGAATTCCAAGGAGAAGGAAACATTGCTGGAGCTGATGCTTTAGAATTAAAGCTATGGAAGTATTTTTTTTTTTTTGTTTAAACTTTGACTCCGTTTTTGGAACTCAAAGTTTTCAGAGTTTCACATGAAAATTTATGGAGATTTATTTTAGTGTTAAATGCACCTAAAAATACTTTCCTGCTTGTAAAATTGGAAGGGTACCTAGAACAAGCAGATAGCACTCTTGCTTAACTATGGAACATAAATGGTACATACATGAGTTCCTATAGCTGAGCTGCATGAAAACAATATTTATAACACTTTGCATAAGGATCTTTCTGTACAGATTGTTAAAACAACAACAACAATGACGACAAGGAAAACAAGTCTTAACATAAGCAGTGGAAATAAGATTGCGTTCATCAAGAATTCCCACGAGATGGCGCAGCCTCCACAGGGTCAGGAGCCAAAAAAAAAAAAAAAAAAAAAAAAAAAAGCTCCTCATTAAAGGTTTCTTTTTTATTTATGGTTCTTCCTATGATTTACTTCTTCTTTTCCTGGCTGTTTGTTTTTCAAGTTCTATTTCAAATTCCTTTGTACAGAATAAATATAGTCTGTGTTCGTGGGAATTGAGCTTTAATGAAAGTTAGAAGTAGTCATTAATTGCTGATCTTCAACCTCCTTTAAACAGCTTTTATGGGTTTAGTCCCAGAACAGCTGGACTCTGAAAAGCGAAGAAGTTATTCCTAATCTTCCTTCCTACTGATGAGCGATGGAAATGATTGTGATGCGGCATAGTAACATTTTCAGAAAAGGTCAGATTTTGAATTATAAGCTGAAAGCAAGCAATCGTTGACTCAGAGCGTGTGACCTGTTTCTAACCTTGTGTGTTAGTGAAAGGAAACTCTGACTCATCGAGTATTTGAACTTGTGATTGCTGCCTGGGAGTACACCTGTCACAGTAGACGCTGTGACAATTAACTCTAAGTGAGAGTTTATTATTTTTTTTTTTTTGCTAAGGATTTATTATGCACATTTGACTTCATCTGAGAAAGTCTCGCATAATTAAAAAATAGTTAAGGGTCAACTTAAATATTATTTGAGGATGAGTCTACTGGGTTTTGTAATACAATAAAAGATTTATTTGGCCATGTAGTTTAGGCAAGCAAATCTTGAAGGTGCTCCCAAGGCAAAGTTTCAAGATAAGAAGAACCAAAATTGATTGCTACTGGACTGTATTATTAGTTATATATTTTTTAAAGGTTTTATTTATTTATTTGAGGGAGAGAGCGAGTGTGCAAGAGAGATAACAAGCAGGGGGAGTGGGAGAGGGAGAAGCAGACTCACCACCTAGCAGGGAGCCCGATGCAGGGCTCCATCTCAAGACCCTGGGATCATGACCTGAGCCGAAGGCAGTTGCTTAACGACTGAGCCGCCCAAGCGTCCCTATTATTGGTTATCTAAATAATCATCACAATTGTAGTACTTATAGCTTAAGGAGCAGCCCCCATCAGGTTCTAGACCTTGTTCCCGTGTCATCTTCCTTGTCTCTTTGAGTCCTCACCTGTAACTGAGCGGAGGGTGTAGGACCACATCCACATTGGATGGACTGGGCCGTGAAGACAGAGAGGTCAACCAGGTGCCAGATTTGAGTCCAAGTCCTACTGACTTTTAGCCTTAACCCTGTATCGTGTCCACAACAATGTTGCCTATAAATTGACAACCGCTGCCTTTGTAACTTTGTGTCCAGGACATTTTTAAGGCAAATGAAAGTGAAAGCACAAGGTCGGTGTTTGTGTACTTTTTTTTTTTTTATTTAAAATTAGTTAAACAAAACTAACTTAGGGTATTGTAGACTTTTGTCACCTCTACCAGAGAAAACAGTTCTGGGTTCCTTCTTTATCAAGTAGCATGATTAAAGTTTTAAGCCATAAGAGATGGCATTATCCTAGCTGAAGGCTATAATATTGGAAATATGGAAAGGGTTGGGTCACCTGTGTGAATGGTCAGGCGAGTTCCACTTGTGGAAAGCCAACAGCAAGGAGTCAGGGGCAGGGGTTTCCTCCTTCTTCCTTCTTTTTATTCTTGAGTGATGTGTACCCAGAAGAGGAGAGAGAGGGGAAAAAACACACACGCAGATACCAGGCACCGTGCTCTACCTCTTTAGTCTTCAGAAC